AAAAATCTGCTGTGATAGTCCGATCGTAATGAGTAATACACCAAATTAAAGGTATTGCTAAAACTTAAAGGATTGCATACCAAGACCTCAAGAAAATCAATTGGTTTGGGAGAGAGAGCGGTGAAAGTGTAAAAGTAAAAATTTAGAAATTTGGATCTGTTGGGGCCGGTGGGGATAAATCCCCCCCACGCAATGTTTTATTGAAAATACCCTTCGAATGATAAAATCCGATGCTCCATTCAAAAGTTATAGCCAAAATAAGATTTTCTTCTTCTTCCCAAAATAAAATTTTAATTCTGTTTGTCAGTTTGTCAGTATGTCAGTCTGTCCCAAAACGTTGGTTTAAAGTCCTGAAAATTTTATAAGATGTTCAACAGCTCGATATAAGAAACTTTAGTTCTACTTTAGTACTTTTGGAAAACCCGCTAGTTTGGCGGGAAAACAGCTATAAATAGCTAAATTTCGTAAGCCCCTAACTTGCGAAATACTTAAGCTACAGATTTGTGCTATACCTTATATTAAAGGTATTTTGAAGTAAAATTTTTTTTAATAATTTCGTCATTTCTAAAATGTTCTCATTATAACAGGTATACAAATTTAGGGCTACTGTCATATTTTTGATACTTGTTATACCCTTGCAGAGGGTACTCTACTCTTGGGGACATTATTTTTTAAATATTTCTGAATTTCGAATTAAATATTTAAAAAATCGGACGACTATATCATATAGCTGCCATAGGAACGATCGAAAAATTAATGGTAAATTATATGGAAGCAAGTTATAGCTCCGTTGGTTTTTATTGTATTCTTATCTACTGTAGGATATTATTTTTTTAACAATTTAACAAAAATCGGACGACTATATTATATAGCTGCTATAGGGAAGGATAGAAAAAATAGTGTCTAAATAATACGAAATTTAAAATTTTTGAGATTTGTAAGGTAATAGGAACGACCTGCATGGATATATAAGCTTTGGCTGGCCGAAACTAGCTTCCTTTCTTGTTTTTTTTTTTTGCAAATGCGGAGATTACGTTCCCCCCTACGATTTATCACTTTTTTTATAGCAAACGATAGAAAAGCAGACTTGTTTTTTTAGCATTACCGGGAACTTTGAAATTCAATTACAAGAGAACCATGGCCGAACGCCAAGTTCTTTTTGCACGTAAATTTTTTCAGTTTAAATATAGCTTGAGCCTGGAATTACAAGAGAACCATGGCCGACCGCCAAGTTCTTTTTGCACGTAAATTTTTTCACAGTTTAAATATAGCTTGAGCCTGGAATTACAAGAGAACCATGGTCGACCGCCAAGTTCTTTTTGCACGTAAATTCTTAAGGAAAGGGGTGAGGTCTTTCAAAAAAAAATTCGATTTTTTTTTAAATTTGTTCTTGTAGATTAACATCTTAAGATTATACAAAAAAAGTTTTAAGTCAATCGGACAAAAGCTTTAGAAGTTATGTCAAAATTAGTACCCTAACCTCTAAGACTTTAGGTACGTAAGTGCATCTTTAAGTGCGTTTTTCTCGAAACCACGTTTTGAAATACCGTGGTTATCGGCATTTCTAAACGGCTCAACCGATCGTTTTCAAATTTGTCGCATATTTTTCTGCATAAAAAAAGTTAACTTTTTTGTATTTTTTTTAAGCCCAAAGACGAATTTTTTAGGTATAAAACGCATTTTTGACTTTGGAAGGGCAAAACAAATTAAAAAAAAAAAAAAATGAAAATCGCGCTTCCCAGGGGGCGGGTTTTTTTTTTTTAAAGCAAAATGTAAAAGCAGAATGGAAATCCGATAATTTTTGGAGGAGATAGAGTGGTCACCGCAAAACGCCTTTTTTTAATAGTGTTCCAGCAATCGCTTTGCCCCCGATATATTATCCGATAGTATCGGCTTTACAAATTAGTGGATGTTATTTAAATGACACTTTATAATATACAATTGGTTTGAATTAAATCCATCCAACCAGTTTTTACAGAAACAATCGCTAAGATACTTGATTTTTTGATGCCAAAGACCCTACCCCCCTAAGAATTCGCGGTTCATCGAGGATAATTTTTTCGCGAATTTGAATGAAAAGGTGTCACAGTTTAAATCTAGCTTGAGCCTGGCTTCTTATAATTAACCCAAAGTTTTGTTACTAAAAAAGACTTCAAATATATATAAATAAACAAATTTTAGGGAAAAGTTTTGAGAAAATGGAGGGGCAAAACATGCCTTACCTTACTTATTACCACTTTTAAAAAGTGTTCCTGAGCTTACAACAAATAGCACCTACACTTTGTCAGGCCAACGCAAAGGAAGAAGTTCCATATGGAATTTTTTGGCAGAAATTGTGAAGGCTTCGTATTTTTATAACTCTAGGCGATTTTTGTGCTGTTATCGTGCCAGCCGAGTTGTTATGGAGGTTTATTTTGCTATAGCGTCTTTATCAAAACAATTTATTTATTTTTCGCGAATTGATCTTCAATAAAATGCGGCTGGTTTTTATAGAATAGCTAAGTTTAATAGATTGCACGCTTGTAAGAATTCAATCTCCCGGAGGCGATTTCGAAAAGATATTTTTCTGCTCCGACACCAGTTTTACGAGAATTGTCTCTTGCTCATCGGTCTAATTTTAACCGCGAGACTTTTTCTGCAGACATTGATTTTCTTATTTAGTTTTAAATTTTTTTTATATCACAGCTGTTAGTATGACTGTTTTGTGGATTTTAAATCCGTTACTCGTAGAGTATTCGTAAAAAAATTAGTAGCAGGGACTACTTAGTAGCTTAGTAGCACTACTGGTCAAAATAATAATTACACACGTTACATCTTCACTTGCTATGAGATATCTCTATAGTTATTGAGGCAAGACCTCCCAAACCTTTTTAAAACAAACAATGGATACAGTAAAACTTGTCTATTCCATGTTAGCCATACATTTGAGCGAAAGGTCGGTTTTGGTGTGGTCAAAATAATAAGTACACTTGTGTTATCTATAAATTTTAGTATTTTATCTTAAGTTAGGATCATCTTCAGGGCCTATTGAACGATCCAAAAAGTTTCTAAGCTTGGATTTGGTTACCTCAAAGTTATTATCGATGCTAAAATCTGATTTGCAGCTTAAAAGGAACTTTAACACTTAATTATGGCTTGTGACTCCCTAAAATTTCTTTAAAAATACTACTTTTAATAAATAAAATGGATTTGGAAGAAAAATTAGTACTTACACCGTAAAAAATGAGAAAAATACTTGTAAAATACCAAAGTTACATGCGGTTTTAATTTAAAAACAAGAGAGAACGCTATAGTCGGGTGCCCCAACTATCAGATACCCGTTACTCAGCTTAAGGGTGTGCGAAGGAGATAAAAACTTTGATCCCCCGTAACTTTTTAACGAATGGTCCGATTTAAATAATTCTTCTACATTTCGATAGGTATTCATAAACATAATAAAACTGCATTTTTACTTTTCCGAAATATTGAAATTTTTAAAATCGTATACAAGCGATTGTGGGCGTTAGAGGGGGCGTGGCACCCTTTTGAAATAAACTTGCGCTGCGTAGGAACTCCTAGAATCTGCATGCAAAATGTCAATCTTCTAGCTTTTATAGTTTCCGAGATCTCAGCGTTCATACAGACAGACAGACGGACAGACGGACATGGCTAGATCGACTCGGCTAGTGATCCTGATCAAGAATATATATACTTTATGGGGTCGGAAACGCTTCCTTCTAGCTGTTACATACTTTTGCACAAATACAATATACCCTTTTACTCTACGAGTAACGGGTATAACAAGAGAGAACGCTATAGTCGGGTTGGTGTCCCGAAATATCTAATACCCGTCACACAGCTGAAGGGAGTGCGAACGCTGTACTCGGGTTGGTGTCCCGACTAACTAAAGGGAGTGCGAGGGAGATAGATATATAAACAATTTTGATTCCGTATAACTTTTTAATGAATGGTCCGATTTAAATAATGTCTTCAACATTTTGATAGGTATAAATATACAAAACAAAATTGAATTTATACTTCTCGGAAATTTTTAAAGATGTGGTCGCAGGACACATTTTAAAATCGTTAGTGGGCGATTGTGGGCGTTAGAGGGGGCGTGGTGCCCGGCTGAAATAAACTTGCGCTGCGTAGCCCAGGAATATGTGTGGGAAATCTCAACCTTCTAGCTTTTGTAGTTTCCGAGATCTCAGCGTTCATACGGACGGACAGACAGACCGACGGACAGACGGACACAGCCAGATCGACTCGGCTAGTGATCCTGATCAAGAATATATATACTTTATGGGGTCGGAAACGCTTTCTTCTAGCTGTTACACACTTTTGCACGAATACTCTACGAGTAACAGCTATAAAAAATAGTTGAATTTTGAATTCTTAATTTTTATACCCTTGCATAGGGTATTATAATTTCAGTCAGTAGTTTGCAAAGCAGTGAAGGGGACGTTTTCGACCACATAAAGTATATATATTCTTGATCAGCACCAATAGCCAAGTCTATCTAGCCATGTCCGTCTGTCAGTTTTAAAACTATTGCGATGAAACTTTCCCGAAAGTCTTCTTTCTATTGCAGGATCGGACCACTATATCTTAAGCCTCCCATAGGAATATTCGAACAAATATAAGAAAATTCATTGTAACTTTGTAGGAAGTAGGCGTTTTGATTTCTGACAACTTAAAAACAAAATTTAAATAGGCACGCTGAATCTGGAATCCCTGGAACTGCACCGAGTGAGCATTAAACTATAGGTATTTACTTTATCTGCAAGGGTATATAAGCTTCGGCTGGCCGAAGCTAGCTTCCTTTTTTGTTTTTATTGTTAAAGTTCCCACTGAGTGCCGTTTTTTTACTTGAGGGTATAGCATTTTTGGTAATTGTCTGAAACGCGTTTTAACGTAAAAGCAGCTTTCACAACTATTATCCGCGGAAAAAATTAAAAATTTATAAATTAATATTAGTTTAACGTGCGGTAGACAAAATGGTTCTAAGAGAGTTTACTTACAGACAAGGCATCTGCATATTTTTCAGCGAGCGAGGCCAGCGCCAACAGACGAATTTGTTCATCTTTCAGTATTTGAAGAAAGTAGTTACCGTCCTTGACACCTTCTGGAAGGAGTATTTTTTGGGCGCTAACATATTCCTCGTAATCCAACACGATTAGTTCCTCGGCCTTATGGTCGACTTCATCAATAGGTCCAGAATCTGGCACTGACTGAGTGTCGTCACTGGTAAGCTGTATCTCAGGTTCGATACATGATCGAGGTACACCCCTTTTGGGCGACACAGTAGGCAGTTGTGCCCGGAACTCGAGGCTAAGGTGCCTGAAAACAGGCAGGTCTATATCTCCGTCTTTATCTGAAAAAGGCAAAGGCTCTGCCAACCGCGCCGTTGCACTCTGTGAGCAGTTATGTTGGAGTTTTCTCCGGAACTCCCCGTAGTCCTTACTAGGCGAAAGCTGCTTGAATTTTCGAGCCAACTCCGAGCCTGGCGGGGATTCGATATCGCGTCGGTTCGTTTCCGACAGGCCCGTTTTATGAGATAAGGACTGCAGGTGCTTTTTGGGGCTGTAAAAACCCTGGGCAAGTGCACCCGGCCCGTAAAGACGCTCCACTCGCTGCTTTATAAAGCTTCCGTTTCCATTTACCTGGGCCGATTCTAATCCGTTTTCCATGCTGTAGCCGTTATTATTATTGTTGGACTCAATGGATTTAAACTTCCTGGCCGGAGAGGGCATGATATTAAGCACTGGAGCCGCCAAGGAATGACTGCGCCTGCAGTACTGCAGACTGCTGGTGGAGGGACGTATCGGAGAAACTTCGCGCGACTTGTTAATATCCTGTCGGATCTTAGAGTCGTAGGTGGTCAGGTTGGAATAGCCGTTGACGCAGCAGGCCAGGTTCAAATAGCTGGGCTTCTTTTCGACAGCGGCAGTTTCTGGAGAATCGCCACCGGTTCTATTAACGGCGACATCGGAGCTCGGCTCTAGGGCGGACTCCACGACCACAGGCGACAGCACCATACGTACCAGACCAGCCGACCCGGAATCCACGTAGGCGGAGGTTGTGTGCTGGGGCAGCTGAGGCGAGCGTAGTACACAGCGCTCCCGAAGGTTGGCGGTAAAGTCGCGGGTTATATCCTTTACTGAAAGCGGCGTGGGAAAATTTAGGCTGCCACTGGTGTCTGCGAGGGGACAAAGCAGAAGTTAGCCACAGGTGGAATGCATGCATTTTGAAATTATACCTGATATGTCGGAGGAGTCGGCGTCTACATCAAGAGAACAGCTGCCAATAGAGTCCAGACTGCGATCCATGAAAACCTCGTCTGTGGAAAAGAATGCGTAGAACTCTTGCTAACAAATCTTATTTCATAAACCAGTGGAGTTAGCAACTGATTGTTGCCTTCCGGAAGCCATGACCAACAATTATGTGATGACGCCCACATTCATAACGACCAATTTGCACAAAATAAGCTATCTGAGCAACAAACGAGGGCGGCAGCTAATTATTCGCCATTTATGCCAAGCAGAACCCAATCCAAGTGGCTGCAGCCCTCTTTGTGCAGCGAACAGACGGAATGGATCGAATTTGTTTGGCTAATCAAATTTTTAAAAGGAACATTTTTTTAATTTTTGTATCAAGTTGGTGAAATGAGCTGACGTGATACGATACGAAGCCGAGGTTGACATTGTGTAAGTCCGCAACACAGGTCAACACGCTCAGCAAAGCAACTCTAACGGCACATTACTAGTTCCGCTTTGCTTACTTTTCACCGTTTTTCTTGTTCTTTCGATCTCCTTCCAGAGATGTATGTATGTACATACAAGTGTACAACTTGAAACACTTGGCACCAAAATACTATTTATAATTCGGTAGATATAAAGACATAACTGGATCTTTAGCGTTCGGAGTTTTTAAGCCACAAAATAATTAAATTCTGTAAATTAATAAAACGGACGCAGTAGACACATGCATTCAGGTTGGTAACATTTCACACGTTAATGATCTTACGCAGCCAACTCAGTGGGAAATGAAACCGAACAAGGGCGAATTCAAGTCTCCAGACAGTTAAGGATAAAACTTGTTAAAAATTAGATGCCCTTTCTGAAAAGTACAAAAAAGACAACACTGCAGTTGTGTGGCCCTGACCTATCCGTTAAAAAACCCAGTTCGTTGATGACATCAATATTTTAGATTTTTCGGTGATTTGGTATTTTTTGAGTAGTTTCGGTCGAAAGTGGAATGGTAGAATTGGCTTGCTGGCTTCAGGCATTTTTCCACTATGCGGTTTTTTCGGTATTTTTGTGTATTTTTGATTGGCGACGCGATAGGCGGACGTGAGGTGTTTCCATTGGCAAACGCGTCTGAAAACAGCTGTTCTGCTATTGTCATTTGAGAGCTGAAGTAAACAATGGATTTAAATAATTTGTTATTGACAATTGTAATCGCAGGACAGCATTTAAACAACGTGGAAACATTGCTGCAATGATGAAAGCAATAACAACATCACACGTTATGCTGCTTGAGCATTTATTACGGCAGAAAGCAAAAGGATCTGCTGCAGAAGGCGTTCATATATATAGATCTGAACAGTCATTTAAATAATTCTTTGACACGACCCGCGTCAGCAGTAGCTGCAGCTTCTGCGGTGGCACGTCACTGAACAGAATCTGAAACGGGGCAGAAGTGCCTACAAGGACATTGTGCGCAAGAAGGAGGGAGATGTGCGCTTTTCCAGCAGTCGCCTGTCAACGTGTGTCATTTGAATATGGAATGGTTATCTATGGTCAAAGCGGATTTTGCACCTGCGCTCAAATGCGACCAGGACCAGTGGACGAATGGCGCACGCGAAGCAAAAGTCAAGATCATGGAGCCGGGGAAGAACGCCCATGTGGCTGCGCTGCAACGACCAATATTTCGCTTTCGATCCTTTCTAGCCGAGCCATTCCATTGGATAAACGAACTGCTACTGCCCTTTATGCGCTTGGATCATCCTCGGAATATTGAACTATTGCCAGATCATTTGGCATATATGATATCCCTGCAGGAAACGGAATCAGTTTTGGACTATTAAAATACTAGTTGGGTCAAGAAGGTTAACTAGTTCAAGTTATGTCCATTTCCTTGTAACGAAGTGGTCCATTTTTCATATGCTTGTCGTCGGAAACAACTAGTCCATTTTCTACTAGTTTTGCACTAGTGACTGTTAACCAATTTATGGTTACAGCTGTTAAACTACACTAAAAAAAATATTTTCACGAAAAAAAAAAAAATTAATCTCTAAACCATCAAGTGATTGGATTTCACTAGTACTTGACGATGCCTAACTTGACGCTCTCATAGTTTAGTATCCAATTAATAGGCGCGGTCCTTAGAGAATTTCTGATAATTATTATGTAATCAAATACAGTAAATGATAATTAAATGGATTTAAAACAAACTTACTTTTTTTGAGGCAAGTCGCCCTCTCTAGGACTTGATCCCGGGACCTTTGGATTTGTAGACACACTAACTGATTGAGCCATACACGCATCACATTTTGTATTGCCCTAACAAGGTTTATAAATTTTAGTGTGACATAAATCAAAAACAGTGATTTTTCACATATATATTGCCTCGGACAGATTAAACTAAGTTTAAAATAAAACTAAAGCATCACCTAGCAAACAAAAAACAAAAAAAAATGTACAGAGACTAGGGATTGAACCGAGGACCTCGAGTGTTTGATTTGTTTAGTGTTAAATTTCCCAAGACATTTACACTCTAGGCTATATTTTTGGATCATATGTGTTTCATTTGCAACTAGTTACATTCCAGTTGCCTTTTAACTAGACCCTAACATGTATTTGTTCTACCAGTTAAATATTTTTAAGGCTTTTTTTGTCAGAAAGGTACTAGTCCGAGACAAGTTTCTTTTTTACTAGTTTTGTATTAATCATTTTTTCGACTAGCACAAATTTTCTAGACCCTGTGTAGTCCAAATGCATTCAGACAAATTCTGGTTGCTTTATATTAGTTGTATAACTAGTTGTTTCTCAGACTAGTTCGCATTTTTCCTGCAGGGATATTAAGTACCAAAACAATACGAAATAAAGTTCATGTAAATATCATCAATAAATGGTTTTAATATTTCCCGCTTCTTATAAGCCTCTTATCAGTTCCGGGTCCAGAAAAATGTTCATTCCTGGTTAATACTGCTAAAAAATACCACAAATTTCACTTTCCAACCCTGTAACGCGACAATATTCCACCCTCCCCTCCTCTACAGCACCAACAAGTTTTGTTTGGGATTTGGGCGCGTTAAACGGTAAATGGATGCAAACGCGACGCGTCCATAATGAGCAGAGGGCATTATAGCGTCTTCCCATAGAGAGCCATCAAAGACCAATATAATCTCTAATTTGGTCTTCCCACAGAGCTCCATCCACTATCCGTTGAACGGATGGTCCGTAATAGTGTATTTAGACTACTAGAATCATTGTAGAATATTCACAAAATGATGCCAGCATTTACACTAAAGCCGCATCTTTAAAATCGGTAGTAGGCCGTTAGTTTTATCAAAAAGCATGTCCTACAATATTTTAAATGTAGTACATGGGGCTTTTAGCATCTACATCACGACAAGCCATATGGTCATCAAGCTTTTGAAAGAGGTTGCAATCGGGCACCTGAAAGGACCTTTTCGACGCATTGTTCTGTTTACGAAAACATCAATGTTTGCAAAAAAAGACTCAAAATATATTCTGCACTTCGTAAATAATAACTAATATTAATTAAAAGTGTACCATGGACTCCTTTAAAGTTCAAATATTACTATAAGTTACCAAAATAGCAGAAATTTGTTATTTTTTTACAAATTTGCCATATTAATATTGGCTAGAAAGAGGCGTAGTAAGAGCGGAGTGTGGGGTACGGGAGGTTAGGCTCTCCCCCAGTCTACAATACACGATATGGGACAAGTTATAAAATTACAGATATATTTTTTAACCATTATCTTTTGCTTTTTATTGTATTATTCTACAATAAGATTAGGAGAACGCACTTCTACGACAGTTTTGAAATCCTCCTTCGTTAATGTTAACTGCTCTTCAAGTCAGCTGTTATTGGATGGTGGATGTGCTCTGTGGGAACACGAGTTTCACATTTGTAAAAAATTCCAACCGTTTCACACGGATGAACTCCATGGAAAGAGGCTATAAGTCCGCCATCCAAATTTGACGGACTTTCACGGGTTCATTTATGCGATAGCAATGCGATGTTTTTTCGGTGCAACTCGTAATTCTTCCTATTGACTATGAAAAAAGGAACGTTGACCACAAGAACAAATCAAATCGATGGCTGGAAAAAATTAAATAATTCGCATTGTTTTTGTGCTATTGTTGAATTATTTGTAGTTTGTTATGAGCGCAAAAGCATTCGCAAACCGGTTGCTATTTGTTTATAAATCAGACGCCAGAGTGTTACTGTTTTCGTTGATATTTATTTGTCTTCACCGAACATTTCAATAATGATTAGAATCAATCGCGCGATGCGCCGTGGTTGCGTTGGTAGCAAAAGTGTGACTGACTGTAGCTTGGTAGAATAGTACAAGAATAAGCTGAATGATATCGTAAACACGTTACAGTTAGAGATGAATGGAAAAGTACTGACCGAGACAATGCATTTGGGCAAAGCTCCTACACGTACATACAAATTAAGCTGCGCTTCCTGCACGTGTGCGTAAAGATAACGAAAGAGATTACAAAGTAAATATAACTAAGAGTACAGGGTGTCTGGTTCCCAAACATACCGGCCCCCCTGAACGGTTGTTCAGCAAAGGGGCAAAATAGCCAGTTTAGTGATTGGGCGCTGGAGTACTCGTTGGGCGGTTTTGATGGTAACAACTCGGACCTTGTCGTCTTGTCCGGGATGCACCTCCAGGATCCGTCCGAGTATCCATTTTGATGGGGGTAGATTTGGTTCCTTAAGTACGACTAGGGTGTCGACCTTCAAATTGTCTTTCTCCAGTTGCCATTTTGTTCGCTCGTGGAGAGAAGTGAGGTATTCCATATGCCAACGTTTCCAAAACCCTTGGACCATTGCTTGTAGTTAAGTCCATCGTTCCAAGCGGTTGATGGGAACATCAAGGCGGGATGGTTCCGGTATAGCAGTATAGGGAGCGCCAGTCAGGAAATGGGCTGGTGTGAGTGAATCGAGGGTTGTATCCCCGGATGAGCAAAGAGGGCGAGAGTTAAGTAGGGCTTCAATCTGAATCAACACTGTAGAAAGTTCCTCGAAGGTTAGGGCTGTCGATCCCATTACCCGTTTCATATGTAGCTTGATGGACCGAACTCCAGACTCCCATATTCCGCCGAAATGTGGTGCCGAAGGCGGTATGAAGTGCCACAAGATTCGTTCGTTGGCGAAATAATTGGATAGATATTCATCCTTGCTGTGCTTTATGGCGAGTAGCCTCATCTCCTCCAGTACTCGTTTGCTGCCATGAAACGTTGTTCCGTTGTCTGAGTAGAGATCAGTCGGCTTAGAGCGGCGAGCAATGAATCGTTGAAACGCTGCGATGAACGCATTGGTTGTTAGATCGGTGACTGCTTCGACGTGGATCGCCTTTGTTGTTAGACATACGAATATAGCGAACCATGCCTTTCCGATCCTTGGTGTACGTCCAGTAGATTCTTTGATTGATATTGGGCCGGCATAATCCAAGCCGGTATGTTGAAAGCAGCGGCTGGCCTGAACTCGAGGCATAGGTAGATCTCCCATGATATGGTTGTTTGTAGCCTTGCGTTGAAGGAAGCAGCGCTTGCATTGGAAGACAGTCTTTCGGACAATGTTGCGCGCACCTAAGATCCAGTACTGTTGACGAAGATTTGTGAACGTTGCATCCACCCCTGTGTGTAGGTTCGTCACGTGAGAATGTCGTACAAGTAACTCTGCGATTGGAGAACTCTTTGGAATGAGCAACGGGTGCTTAGCGTTGTAGTTGAGAGTCGATCTCTCGATTCGTCCACCAACTCTGAGTAGTTTCTCATGGTCGAGAAATGGAGAAAACCGGATCAGCGGAGATTTTGCATGGAGCTGGCGTCCGTTTTCTAGCTGTGTATATTCCCTTTGAAAAGCCTTTCGCTGGATATGGCGAATGAGTTGGTCCCGTGCTGCCTGCAGTTCCGTTGATGTGAGATACTCAGAAATAGGCCTGTGGTGCGAACGAAGACGATGAATAAAGCGATAACAATAGCTAGTTACCCGTATGAGACGAGTCTAGGATGAGATCTTGTTGATGAGCAACTCGTCGATACTTTCGTCAGGAAAGCTATGTAGAGTTGTGGGCTTGGCTGGACGTTCCTCGGCCCTGACCTCCAAATTGGTGTCAGCTCGGAACTTGGTTGTACATAGTGGCCATTCGTATTGTGGATGGGCCAACCAGGATGGACCCTTCCACCAGAGGTCGTGTTTGAGAAGCTTCGATGGCTGAAGTCCCCGAGATGCGCAGTCGGCAGGATTGTCCTCAGAGCGTACGTGGCTCCAGCAGCTACGTGGGTATTCGTTCAGAATCTCCGCCGTTCTGTTGCAGACGTATGTGTTCCAATTCCGTGGTGGTGCGGATAGCCAGTGGAGCACAATCTCCGAATCTGTCCAACAGCTCGTGGTTGTTAACAGGAATGGTTAGCGATGATTTGACAATAGTAAGCAACCGCGACAGAAGTAGTGCGCCGTTCAATTCCAGACGTGGAATTGATACTGGTTTAATGGGTGCTACACGGGTTTTTGCCGCTACCAAAGTGATGTGAAACTTGCCATCCATTGCGACCCGACTGTAGACTACTGCACCATACGCGTGCGAGGATGCGTCGGCGAATCCGTGTAGTTGGATTTGTTGAAAGGGTGCAGCAATATATCGAGGTACTTGGCAGTGTGTGAGCGACGGTAAATCCTCTACCAGTGATCTCCAACGGGCATTCAGAGCGTCCGGAATTGGTTGGTCCCAATGTATAACAGCTGTCCAACTCTCTTGAAATATGAGCTTGAGCAGCACGGTAGTGGGCGCTGTCAAGCCGAGTGGGTCGTAGATTTTGGACAGTTGCGACAATAATTATCGTTTGGTGGGAATAACGTTGAGATCGAACTCGGTTGTTTTGATGAACATGACGTCACGACCTGGATTCCACTGAAGTCCCAGGATCTTAACGTGTGGTCCCATGGGTGAATCCTTACTGAGTTGTACTGGGTCATAACATCGATCCCCTTGTGGCAGTGACTGTAGAAGCTGCCAGCAATTTGAACTCCATTTTCGTAGTTTGAATTTAGCTTTGTCTAAAAGTCCAATCAGCTCCTGTTTAAGCAGCAAAAGATCGTCAACTGTATCGCATCCAGTTGGAATGTCGTCCACATAAGCGTCGTTTGACAAAGCTCGTGATGCGGCCGGGTATTCGAGGCAATGATCGTCAGCTAATTGCTTTAAAACTCGAACGGCCAGAAATGGGGAGGGCGCCAATCCGTAGGTGACGGTTAGAAGTCGGAAACGAAGAATCGGTTCCTTCTCATTCTTGCGCCACACAATGCGTTGAAAATTGGTGTGAGGCTTGGCAACTTGAATCCCTCTAAACATTTTTTTTATATCTGCACATAGAACATATCGGTGCTGTCGGAAACGTAGGCAGACTCCGAGCAAGTCCCGTTGGATCGGTGGCCCAACATGAAGTCGATCGTTGAGCGAGATCCCAGAACTAACCTTTCCAGATCCGTCGAAGACGACCCGACACTTGGTAGTCAGGCTGTCCACCTTGATGACTGCGTGATGTGGTAAATACACGCAAGTGTCCAGGCTTTCTCCAGCTTGGACTGAGGTCAGCTGTTCCATATGACCACGCTGCAAGTAGTCATCCAAAAAATCCTCGTATTGCTGTTTAAGGTCCGGGTGTCGACGAAATTTCCGCTCTAGTGAAACGAGGCGGTTGGTGGCTTGTGGTAAAGTTGATTCGATAGGAGGTGCTTCGCCTTTGAAGGGGAATTCGACAATATAAACACCGTCCTTGGAGCGCGTGTGAGTGCGGGCAAAATTACTCTCTGTGGGATCACTAGAGTCCAAGAGAGCTTGGACACACTGCACACTGTCCATTTCCATGAATGATCGAACCATCCTGTCAAGGTCCGCGTGATGGGTCACGGCCGGAGTGATGTGGTCATCGCAGGCATTGTACGAGCCTGCAAAAATCCAACCAAAAATTGTATTGTGAGCTATAGGGTAGTCCTTACCAAAATATTTTCTTTCTCCGGTATATAGACCCCAGAGTTGATCAGATCCAACGATGACATCTATAGATCCCGGAGTGCAGAACGTAGGGTCTGCTAAGGGAAGCGCTGAGATTTGCTTCCAGGTTGTAGACGAAGTGTCAATAGCTTGCGCTGGAAGCGATGACGTTAGCGAGGGCAATATGAAGGAGACCATCTCGATGTGGTGATCCGAATGACGAGAGCGCAGCTTAAAGTGTGCGCGTCCGCGTGTGAGGCCAGCGTTGTTGGCAGCCAGACCAAGAATTGAAATCCGTGCATGCGTTCGATGCACGCCAATCCGCTGGACAAATGATTCCGATGCCAAAGTTATTGTGGATCCCGTGTCTAGGAGCATCCGACAAGTTGTTGTATTTCCCCAGGCGTCGATTACGTCTGCGAGGATGGTTGGCAAAAGGGTTTGCAAACCTGCAACCGGAATATTTTCCAGGGTATGATGAGTGTAATTGTTCTCTACAGAAGGAACGTTTCCCGATGGTGGATCGTCTTGATGGCGAAGTTGATTGATTGAGGTTAAGGCTCCAGCTCGGGATGTTGATGGCAAATTGCTGTTGTTTACGCTAAGTGGCTCCTGGTAGGTTCCAGTGCCAGACATCTGCGGCGGGTCGTGAACTAATGTATGATGTTTGCGGCGGCAGACCCGGCAGGTGTGTTTTGATGTGCAATTGCCGACCATGTGGGAGGCACTAAGGCAATTGAAACAGAGCTTTCTGTTCCTCAGAAATTCTCGGCGTGTGGCGACGTCCAATGATAAGAATTGATCACACCTGAACAGTGGATGATTCTGCTGGCAAGATAGACACTTGTTTTCCTCGCGTTTCTGATGAGCGTCAACGTGGTGTGTTGTAGCGGCTCGTCGAGCTTGTGGCGCGCGAACAAGTTGGCAGGCCTCTAAGGTGTCGCAATGTGATGTGAGAAATGTTAGAAACTGGTTGATGGTCACATTTGGACTTTCAGATTCTGCGCACTGGGCCCATGCTTGGCGAGTTTCAGGATCCACTTTTGTCAATAATATAAAAATTAACCAAGGATCTCGCTGCTCGCATTGAAGTGCTCTCAATCCACGAATTACCTCGTCTGCGCCATCAGCCAATTTTCGCACGGCGCCGATGCTGGTGGTGGTGGCACTAGGTAGAGTTAAGAAACTGTTGAGGAACGATCGCATAATTAGCGACTGTTTGTTATATCGCTTTTCCAACCTATCCCAGGCTTCACTGTAGTTTTCATTAGTAACGGGAATGTGTTTTACTAATGTGAGCGCCTCGCCGGACAGGTAGGACTTTAAATAGTGAAATCTTTGGCAGTCAGTGAGTCCTGAGTGTGATGCGATGGATGCCGTGAACATGTCCGAAAAATGTTTCCAGTCTTCATAATTTCCCGAAAAGGTTGGGAGCTTGATTCGCTCGAACTGGAAGTCCACATGGCTTCTGTGGGACGTGTTGAGGGATTGGTCAGGAACAAGAAGAGTAGTCTCAGCGACTTCAGCCTTTAACTCTTCCAGCGTATTGCTTAGTACAGCATACGTAGCGTAGTGTTTTTCCTCGTATACATCAAAGTCTTCCTCAGGGTTTTCCCAACCCTCTTCAGACTCAAAGGCGTGCAGCTCCTCTGTGAGCTTTACGAACCGTAAATAGTTTTCCTGTAGTTGAGCTAATCGCGCGACTAGGGTCTGGATTGACTGAATATCTTCCACGAATTTAGTGGCATTGTTATGCGCACGTGTAATTTGGCTTTTGCAAAAGCCCCGTTGTTGAGTGACACTCCGCATGGCGATTGAGGTTAGGGACGGTTCTATACGACGCAGATATCTATAGATCACCGTTGAAAAATACTAATTTAATTGAAATGTCCCGAAACAAACGTTTCTGGCTATCCGGCTACTCGAAGGACCAATTTTTTAATGTTTATAAATCAGACGCCAGAGTGTTACTGTTTTCGTTGATATTTTTTTGTCTTCACCGAACATTTCAATAATGATTAGAATCAATCGCGCGATGCGCCGTGGTTGCGTTGGTAGCAAAAGTGTGACTGACTGTAGCTTGGTAGAATAGTACAAGAATAAGCTGAATGATATCGTAAACACGTTACAGTTAGAGATGAATGGAAAAGTACTGACCGAGACAATGCATTTGGGCAAAGCTCCTACACGTACATACAAATTAAGCTGCGCTTCATGCGCGTGTGCGTAAAGATAATGAAAGAGATTACAAAGTAAATATAACTAAGAGTACAGGGTGTCTGGTTCCCAAACACTATGTGTCGGCCAAAATTTAAGCTGTTCTGCGAACGAAAACATCAATGTTTTCTGCACTGACTCAGAATATGACCTGCCATTCGAAAATAATAACTATTATCAAATAGAAGTGTATTCAGTTGCGTTAAATTACCAAAACAGCACACATTTGGTTTTGTTTACAAATTTTTCATATTAATATTGGCTGGACAGAGGCGGAGTAAGAGCTGAGTATGGGGTACGGCAAGTTTGGCTCTCTCCCAGTCAGAAATATGTACAGTCAGTCACAAAAGTATTCGTTGCGAGGCGTTTCACAAACAAATTTAGTTCTATTTAACATTAACGTAACATATTAACACATATTCAAAATATATAAAATAAAACAAGAAAGGAAGCTAGCTTCGGCAAGCCGAAGCTTACATATATACCCTTGCAGATCATTCTATTAATTTACAAATCGCAAAAATGTTAACTTTCTTATTATTTCACATTAATTTTTCGATCGTTTCTATCACAGCTATATGATATAGTAGTTCGATCTTTTAAAAATTAAAATCTAAATTCGGAAATATTTCAAAATAGTCTTATCCCAGAGTAGAAGGAAATATAATAAAAACCAACAAAGATATAATTTTTGTCCCATTAATTTCCATTTAATTTTTCGACCGATCCTATGGAAGCTATATGATATAGTGATCCGATTTAAAAAACAAAAAAACCGAAATTCAGAAATATATAAAAAAAAATATTCCCAAGAGTAGAAGGTAAAATTCCAAAAAACACCGGAGCTAGAATTTTTTTACTTTTTTTTTTTTGATCCTTCCTATGGGAGCTATAAGATATAGTTGTCCGATCCGGTTGGTTCCGACATATATACTACCTGCAATAGAAAGACGACTTTTACGAAAGTTTCATCCCGATAGCTTTAAAACTGAGAGACTAGTTTGCGTAGAAACGGACGGACAGACGGACGGACAGACGGACAGACGGACAGACGGACAGACGGACAGACGGACATGGCTAGATCGACTCGTCTTGTGATGCTGATCAAGAATATATATACTTTATGGGGTCGGAAATGTCTCCTTCACTGCGTTGCAAACTTCTGACTGAAATCATAATACCCTCTGCAAGGGTATAAAAATAGAGATTTTGGGATCGGGAAATCGAGAGAGCCTGGAAGAGAGCTTCCAGTGCGGGAGCGCCTGGAATCGCGAGCATCCAGTGCGGTCGAGTTGGCATTCGCAAACGAGGGAAGAGCGGGCAATTTAAGAGAGGGGAGAGCGGCGTAAACATTCCGCCGTCGTCGCGCTTCGACTGAATCGTCGCCGTACAGATCCGCTCGTCGCCGACGGTGGTAGTCGGCAAGCGGAACGCAGACGACAGGGACGCGTCGATGCAGCTCGTCGGTGTACACGGGTTGATAAGAGCGGCCGTGTCGAACTTCTTCATCCCGGTCTCCAATGTGACCATGGCCGTCGGTAGCACATTCACGCTGTGCCGCTTGAGGATGGACGCCAGTGACGGTGCCGGTGTCGAGGAGGCTGAGCGCGGCGGAGAGTCAAGCGCTCTGCGAGTTGGCGGATCCTGCCGGCGCGAACGCTGCTGATTAGCCGACGGCAGAGGGCGCTTGTACCTACGGAGGAGAGTGTGGTGCTTTCCGTTGCACGTTTTCCTTTTTCGCCACTGCGACAACTCCCGTCGGAGTGCTCGTGAGCGAGACAATTTGAGCAGTACTTATTGACAAGCACTGGCCGAGGCCGCCTCTCTGCGCTCAGCTTTAGGAACCTCTGGCACTTCCAAAGCGGATGGATTCCACGGCAGACACGGCATCGGTAGGAATTTAACCTCGAGTACGTCTGCCTTCCAATGCCTGAGCGCTCCGTGGACAAGGAACCATGATTTGATCTGGTAGTGAGTAATGGACAGAAAAAAAGAAAAAAAACATATGGAGATGACTTGAAACTGCTTAGATGGCGAGGTTGGTTGGGGAATTATGTGGAGGATTAAGGAAGACGGTTGGAGTGTTCTCCTGGCAGAAGAACCACGCTTGATAATCCTGCGTGCCGTGAGAATGCTGACGACACGGACATTGCCGTCAGCCTCCGGAAAGACAGAGTCGATTCTGCAAAGGCGCCACTTATTCGAGAGCAGATTGTCCTCCTTGATGACTACCATGTCGCCAACGCGGAGATTTGCGGTCGGGGATTGCCACTTGTTACGCTTGTGGAGCTCTTTGAGATACTCCTCTTTCCATCGAGCTTGGAATTGTTGATGAGCGCCTTTAAGTGTTGCCCACGATTCACAATGGACTTGGATTCCTCTTTTAATTCGGGTTCTACTATGGACAGAAGAGGTCCGCCGACTAGAAAATGCCCAGGTGTCAACGCTAAGAGATCAGTAGGATCTTCAGACATAGGAAATAGCGGTCAGGAATTTAGACAAGCTTCAATTTTCGCTAGGAGGGTTGAAAGCTCTTCAAACGTGTACTTTCGAGAAGCGGTGGACTTGTAAAACAAGGTTTTAAAGCTTTTGACACCAGCTTCCTACAGGGCTCCCATATGGGGTGCCCCCGGAAGAATGAATTGCCAGTTGAGCTGCTGATGACTATGCGCATCAGTCACAGACTCTTTTACGGCTTGGAAATCTCGGGAGAGGAGAGTGGCAGCGCCGACAAAGGTTTTCCCATTGTCGGACTGCACTTGACGGGGACAACCTCTTCTGGCTACAAACCGAGCGAAAGCGGCGAGAAATTTCTCGGTCGTCAGATCGGATGTAGGCTCTAGATGGATGGCCTTTGTAGAGAAACTCGTTACTCGTAGAGTAAAAGGGTATATTGTATTCGTGCAAAAGTATGTAACAGCCAGAAGGAAGCGTTTCCGACCCCATAAAGTAAATATATTCTTGATCAGGGTCAATAGCCGAGTCGATCTAGCCATGTCCGTCTGTCCGTCTATCTGTCCGTCTGCCTATCTGTCTGTCCGTATGAACGCTGAGATCTCGGAAACTACAAAAGCTACAAGGTTGAGATTTTCCACACATATTCTTGGTCTTCCTACGCAGCGCAAGTTTATTTCAGCCGAGCGCCACGCCCCCTCTAACGCCCAGAATCGCCCACTAACGATTTAAAATGTGTCTGGCGGCCACACCTTTAAAGATTTCCGAGAAGTATAAATGCAATTTTGTTGTGTATATTTATACCTATCGAAATGTAGAAGACATTTTTCAAATCGGACCATTCATTAAAAAGTTATACGCAATCAAAAAAAATGTTATAAATCCATCTCCCTCGCACTCCCTTTAGCCGAGTGACGGGTATTAGATAGTCGGGACACGAACCCGACTATAGCGTTCTCTCTTGTTTTATATGTCGAAAGGGCCAGCGTAGTCTCTTCCTGTGTATGTGAATGGCCGGGAAAAAGAAACTCGCTCTTTCGGAAAACTTCCCATCATCTGAACCTGCAAGCGCTTCTTATAAATAACGCAGACCTTGCAGGAGTTAATCACGGCCTTTACCAAGCTCTTTAATATCGGAAGCCAGTATCTTAATCGGGTGAGACGTACGACTAACTGGTTACCTCCGTGCAACGTTATGAGATGCGTAAAGTTTTCCAGTAGTCGGGAGAGTGCACATTCGTAAGGGAGGATTATCATATGTCGTTCGTCATATCGCAAGTTTTCGGAGGCCGTTATGCGGCCGCACGCCCTTATAAGATCTTTCTTGTCTAGAAAGGGGTTTAAGGAGAGGATGGAACTTTTTGCAGACACAGGACGCTTTTGACTCAAGCAGCGATATTCATTTGCGAAATATCTGCGCTGAGTGCTGATGACCATACGTCGTTCAGCGACGACAAGTTCTTGGGCCTGCAGACGGACTTCCGGAATCGATGTTTTCTACATCGTTGGACAAAATGGTGGACATACGCAAGGACCCGTAAAGCGATCAAGGATGTCTTCTGTCGGAATGGACGCCACATGGGCCTTGACAGGACGCCTTTCCATTTCGGTCACTTGTAAGTATGTGCTTTGGGAAGGCCACTGATCTCGTGGCCTTGACAACCAAGTTGGTCCATGCCACCAAAGGGAGTTGTCGACCAGTTCTTGTAGAGGCACTCCCCGACTGGCCAAGTCAGCTGGATTGTGTTCGGATTGAACATGTGCCCAATTGGCTGCCTCTGTGGACTGGGTAATTTTTGTTACCCGATTGGCAACGAACGTTGTCCATTGGCTTGATGGTTTGGCTAGCCATGCAAGCACAATCGTGGAATCGGTCCAACAGTGGAGTTTCGAGGACAGCATTGGCATATGGGGGAGGATGGATTCAGCCATCTCGGATAGCAATAGAGCTCCACACAGCTCTAGCCTGGGAAGCGACACAGTTTTGACTGGCGCCACGCGCGTTTTGGCCGTAAGAAGATACACTAGCGTCGTGTGCTCATTTCTACGCGTACATAGATTGCAGCACCATACGCCTTTTGAGAGGCGTCACAGAATCCATGATGTTCTACTCGGAACTCAGGGCGGAAGGAAACCCATCTGAGACTTCAGACTTGATCTAGGACATAGTAGCTTTGGAGAAAACCACGCCACTTTTGGCACAGTTCAATTGGGAGTTTTTCATCCCACCCTAGATCGTGAAGCTAGATCTCCTGCTTGAAAATCTTGGCACAGACCACGAAAGGAGCGAACCAGCCTGCTGGATCAAACAGCTTGCCGATTTGGGAAAAAACATGTCGTTTCGTGGGCGTAGCTTCGTTGGATAGGTCTGGAGGGGCGAAGAAAAACTCATCGGATGTTGCTTTCCAACGGACTCCGAGAGTTTTCGCAGTGCTTTCCGTATCTGTTTCGAGGAAATCGGCGTTTAAAAGATGATCGGTTTCGATATGAGCCAGAACTTCTTTATGGTTGGAGGTCCACTTCCTTAATGGAAAACCAGCCGAATCGAGGGCACTCTGGAACTCGCGAATGGTGAGGTGAGCCTCTTCTGCAGAGTCAGCTCCCGAAGGGACATCATCGACGTACATGCAACCACGAATAACTTTATAGGGTCTTCCCATAGAGCTCCATCCACCATCTACCATCCGTTGAACGGATGGTCCGTAAGGTTTAGCCGTTCCGAAAATTTCCCAGTTAGTCCGCCATCCAATTTTGACGGACTTTGACGGGCTCTTTTATGTGATAGTTAGGCGATGTTTTCTCGGTGCAACTCTGAATTCTTCCTCTTGACTGTGAAAATTGGAACGATGACTGCGAGAACAAATCAAATCGATGGCGGGAAAAAATTAAATATTGCTTCAGCTCATTGTTTTTTTGGATTTTTTAAAATTATTAGTTTGTTATGAGCGCAAAAGCGTTCGCAAGCAGGTTGCTATAAGTGGGTTAAAATGTAAGCTGTTGTGCGTACGAAAACATCACTGTTTGCAGCAAAGTGTCAAAATATGTTCTGCACTTCGTAAATATAACTAGTATTTATTAAAAGTGTACTTGGTACTGCTATAAAGTTCCAAAGTGGATAAAATTTACCGAAAACAGCATAAATTTGGTTTTGTTTACAAATTTTTCATATTAATATTCGGTAGACAGAGGCGTAGTAAGAGCGGAGTGTAGGGTACGGGAGGTTAGGCTCCCCCACAGTCAGCAATATGTATGCGTACTCGTTGTAGGATATGTTATAAACGTTCAGATATGTTTTTAAACTATTTTCTTAATCTATTTTATTGTATTATTCTACAATAAAATTAAGAGAACGCAATTTTACGACAGTTTTCCTAAGTTGAAATCCCCCTTTGTTAATGTTGAGCTGAGCAACTGCTCTTCAGTCAGCTGTTATTGGATGGTAGATGGTGGATGGAGTTCTGTGGGAACACGAGTTTCACATTCGTCAAAAATCCCAACCGTTTCAAACGGATGGACTCTATGGGAAGAGGCTATTACTCGCAGCTGATGCAGTACTCGAATTCGAACTTCTACTGGTAGAACGTGCTTTTACCAAAAAATCAAGCTATTGATCGTTACAATCCACCAGCAAATTAATTTGATATGCATTTTTTAAGCTTGCGCCAACGGTGTTTTTTTTGGCCGTTTACAGCTGTTAACTGACACAACAGGGCTCTAACAGGGCTGTAATACCCGTTTTTTCCCAACGTAAAAATCGATATAAAATCGAACTATTGATTGATTTTTTTGATGATGGTCTTGTTAGTTGACTAAAAGATGTATCTTTAAGTTAAAATAATTTCGGTTTTTAGGCGTGTATTTTTAACGAAGCCATTTATGCCAGCATTTTTGCATTTTTCCTAATTTTTTCATCTTTGACGTAATGTACCTTCTAACCTAATGAATGGAACTCAATGTCGTGTGTGACAGTTGGAGGGCATTCTATTACCTGTAAAATGAGTATTTTATGGTTGAAATCCCTTAACCACAACTGAAGTTAGAAATTAAAAAAGTGTCAAAAACGTTTTTTACACTTAACAAAAAATTGGCTCCATAAAAAAAATTGTATCTGCCATTTTTATACCCTTGCAGAGGGTATTATAATTTCAGTCAGATGTTTGCAACGCAGTGAAGGAGACGCTTCCGACCACGTAAAGTATATATATTCTTGTTCAGCACCAATAGGCGAGTCTATCTAGCCATGTCCGTCTGTCCGTCTGTCCGTTTCCATGCGAACTAGTCTCTCAGTTTTTAAGCTATCGCGATGAAAGTCCTTCCCCGAAAGTCTTCTTTCTATTGCAGGTAGTACATATGTCGGAGCGAGCCGGATCGGACCACTACATCTTAAGGCTCCCATAGGAATATTCAAACAAATATAAGAAAATTCATTGTAACTTTGTAGGAAGTAGGCGTTTTGATTTTTGACAACTTAAAAATAAAATTTAAATAGACACGCTGAATTTGGAATACCTTGAACTGCACCGAGTGAGCATTAAACCATAGGTATTTACTTTATCTGCAGGGGTATATAAGCTTCGGCTGGCCGAAAGAAGCTTCCTTTCTTGTATTCATAGTCAAGAAGACGTACCTTACCGGAAAACAAAGGTTTCCTTCATCACTATGGACGGCAGTCCATGTAGTGACGAAGCGCACCAGGAGAGTGTGCGAAGGCGACTACTATATATACACGAAGAAATGAAAATCTACTGTGATGGTCCGATCATAATGAATGATACACCTAT